TCACCAGAGACACCTGGACAGGTCTCCGGTTCACCAGAGACACCTGGACAGGTCTCCGGTTCACCAGAGACACAAAAGAGACAATCAACCATCCACACTCTGTCACACCTAGAGTCACACAGAAGAGCTCCAGAAGGTTTCAAACTGAGAACTCTGGACTCAGATCATCTGCTGCACACAGTTCTGATCATTTATTATCAATAATAATTTTATTGATAATTATCATGAGGAGTCCTTAACTAGAATGTAGTTAGGCAATTAAATGTTCGTGTATGTGTAAATGTATTACCATAATTGCAGGTGAGTCACATAAATTTATGTTTTTATAAAACAAGTAGCCCCCCCACCCCGCCAAGACCAATTTCCTAGGGGAAACACTGTTTATTGTTAATAGTTTTGCTCTTAAAATAACGGTTTACTCATCTATAGCTACCTTGCATGCCATTACAAGAAGTTAACCAAAAGTTATGGTTTTCACTGCACGATAGCCATTTTGCCACTAGGCAAGGGTTAGTATGAAACTTTGATAGTATGATAAACTTTGGCAAAAATATCAAGGTTTTGCAGTATCATAACAGCTCTAAAAAGGTGTCATCTTGAAATTTGTATTTAAAAACAAAAATAAGACTAGAACTGCGAAGCAGTTATGACCAGGGTCAAAGTCCATTTATGCATGTCAACCTCGGCTCATGTCATTTCCAGTGTACTGTCAAATCTTGTGCACCACAGACGTGTAGCGTCATGGGGAGTATTTATAACATCTGTTTGAGGGCCTAGTGCCTCAGTATCTCTAAAGTTCCTTCTCTCTCGGGTGTGCGTGTAAGTGATTTTCAATAGTCATTCTATTCTATGTAAAAACATTGCAGCTCCTTATGAGAAACTGTGGATGGATTTGCAAAGCTGTCACCAAACTATTCTCAAGTTTGAAAGAAACCACATGATTGTGACCAGTGAAAATAAAATTGGTTAAAAAAATTGGCAAGTCAGAGATGTCAAAATAACATTTGTGTCAAATTTGAGGCATAATGTGTTCTTTTTGTTTTTGATATTGTTGAATTATGACTACTTTTATGGGGTTCTGTATGTTATATTCATGATTAAATGCAGCAAAATAAACTATTTCAAAGATAACAGATCTTTGTAATACTTACTTTATTTACATAATAACTATTTGCTGGATGTTCGGCCCCTCAGCTGTTGACCTGCAGTAACTATGGTCCCCGGAGCAATTTAGTTGAATAGCCCCGCTTTATAGCATTTAGAATTGACATGAAATCCTAAGTGAAAAATAAATAAAAAAAATTTAAAATGTATTTTTTACATTGAGTTTGAGAACAGTTTGGGATACATGAAAAACAAACAAACAAAAAAGCCCTGTAAATTTTAGACCTGTAGGTCCAATGTGTGATTTTTTTAAAATGTTTTTATAAAAGGAATCATTTACAAGCCATACCCCTTTCTGACAATCATTACTATATTGTACAGACTAACTCAGTTTGAGGTCTTAMTAGAGTTGGGCAATATTGGCAAAAAAATTAATCACGATTTATTGTGGTATTTAGCCGATAACGATTAATTTGACGATTAATGCCCTGGAGTCCCTGGACACCTATCCTAGTCACATGACAAATTTAGTGGGAAAGATTTGCTCTTCGTAAAAATTATTTTTCAAACTGTGTAAAAATTGCAGACTTCAGGCTAATAGGGCTGTGTATTGGCAAGAATTTGGCGATACGATACATATCATGACAAGAGGGGTCACGATACGATATACCCCGATATATTTCAATACTGTAAACAAGGCAATATATTGCGATTTTTTGGTCCAAAAATTCTATTAAATAAAAACCTCTTACAGGGAAAAAAACAAACAAAAAAATAAAAAATAAAAACGAAAAAAACAAAAAAACAAAACGAAAAACCAAAATTCACTGTCTCAGAAAATTCTAATATTACATAGACATACTTTTGATA